GAAATAGGTAGATAATAATATTTGATGGTGTGAATATGGTATGGGAATCATGTACATTGTTTTCCTATGTACTAGAAAAATGCTCATTTTTATTCTTTGGAGGCAGTGTGATCTAGTGGAAAGAACCCTTGATTCGAAGTCTGAAGACATGGGTTCAAATCCCTGTTCTGCTGTTTCCCACATGTGTTACTTTGGCAGTCATTTCAGCTCTCTAGGCCACAGGTTCCCTAGGGACTTAAAATGCAGGGACTTAAAGCCCCTTTCAGGTCTAAATCTATGATTCTTTGATTACTTATTGTAGCATTCATGGTTTATAGAAAAGGAGGAGGCAATTCAATAATTTAGCTCAAGACCCTGTGCTCCTCCCCACCCCCTGGCCTGGCCACCACGGATTTCTTTCCCCAGGATGGATTTTTCTTATTCTGTTTCTTTCATGAATGTCTCAGATTTAATAGAAAGTTTACAAAACTTCCTCCCCTTGCCACTGAGATCTTGATTTCATCACTAACCCCAAATATAAGCCTTATGTCTCCAATCAACTTTTCCCCAGTCTTTCTTTGAAGGGGGCCCATTGTATTAAAGCAGGTTGGAATGTAGGGGAAAGAGCAAGGCACCAGAAGGCAGGCATTCTCCATTCTAACTCTTCATCTAGCTGTTGGACCTTAGATAAGCCTCTCTCTGCCTTCCTGGTTACACCCAAAAAGGGAGGATTACAAATCCTTGTGGACCTGAAGGCAGTAGGCTGGAACAAATGATCTTTTGAAATCAGTAGCAGCTGGGTATCTATAGTACAAAGTCTTCATAATGTTCTCTAAAAGAACGACTGTTGGTTTTTGTTTTTTCACTACTAAAGTTATTTTTCATTTTCACATTTCTGGCTGGAAAGAAGGAAATTCTCAATCTGTCTTAGATTGTCAGCTGAATCACTTATTTACTGCTATTCGAGAAGTTTTGGTTTGTAGGACAGCACAATCTAAGTGGAACAGTGAGACATTAGTAGCAGGCCAGAATGAGAAATGAAAAACTTTCATGCTGCAATGACTCATAGGAATAGAATGTTTTCACTTAGTTTTTCCTGTTCTTCCTTCCTTTCTTTCTTTCTTTCTTTCTTTCTTTCTTTCTTTCTTTCTTTCTTTCTTTCTTTCTTTCTTTCTTTCTTTCTTTCTTTCTTT